GATAAACAAACCATGGCACATCCAGATAATGAAATATTACTCAGAACTAAAGAGAAATGCGTTATCAAGTCATAAGGAGACATGAAAGAAACCCAAATGAATGTGACTAAACAAGAGAAGCCAAGCTGGAAAGGCTGCAAACTATGATTCCAACTCTATGACAATTTGGAAAAGACAAAGCCATGGAGACAGTGAAAAAGTCACTGGTTGCCAGGGGTCAGTGGGAGGGAGGAATGCACAGGCAGAGCACGACGCATTTGAGGGTAGTGAAATGATTTGAATGTGCAACCCCAAGAGTGAGCCCTCACGTAACCTATGAGCTTTGAGCTTTGGGTGACAATGTGTCGATGTTGGTTCATCGGTTGCAGCAAACGCACCCTGTGGTACAAGATGTTGGTGGGGAATGTGGGAGATCTCTGTGCCTTTTGCTCAGTTTTGCTGTGAACTTAAAACTGCTCTAAAAAATAAAGTGTATTAATTAAGGATGGGGAGGGAAGGGGGAGTGAGAGAAGAGAGAGGGGAGAAAGGGAGGAGACAGAGAAGAGAGACAGGAGAAAGGAGAGAGGAAAAACAGAGGAGAGAAAGTGGAGTGGGGGAGAGAGAGAAAGGAGAGGGGGGAGAAGGAAAGAGGAGAGACGGGGTGGGGGAGAGATAGGAGGGGGGAGAGGAAGACGGAGGGAAAGGAGAGAGAGAGAAATTCACTACCTGAATGATTCTTTTTTTTTTTTTTTGAATTGGAGTCTCACTCTGTCGCCCAGACTGGAGTACAGTGGCCTCTCCCGGCCACCACAGCCTCGACTTGCTAGGCTCCAGCGATCCTTCCACCTCAGCCTTCCAAGTAGCTGGAACTACAGGCGCACGCTACCACGCCCGGCTAATTTTTGATTTATTGTAGAGATGAGGTCTCGCCATGTTGCCCAAGCGGGTCTCGAACCCGCGGGCTCAGGCAATCCACTCACCTTAGCCTCCCAAAGCACGGGATTACAGGCTGAGCCATTGAGCCCGGCCACCTGCATGATTCTTATATGAAGCCAGTGTCCAGGCATAGCCTGAGAACACTGCTCAGAATGGAAGTTTTACTTCAAAAGCCTGAGCAGACAGAACGTTCTGTTCCTGACGTCGAGCATGGTATGGACACAGCAGGACACCATAGACCAAGTGTCCGCTAAGACCTGCTGTGGTAATGCCTTTCTCCAACCATATTGTATTATTCTGAGACTTCTGGGCCCACCTTGGTTGCAGGAGTACATGGGTGGAGAAACTCACTAGAAAGCAAATTTCATCTCAATGAAAGGAGGAGCTTAATTGAGCAGCAATGCAAAGACACAGTCCTGGAGGTAGTGAGCTGCTTATCACAGGACAGGAACAACAGCCATCTGGGAGGTCAACAGTCTACCCTGAAGAGGGACGTTCTTTCCAACTCAGAGAGTCTGTATTCTGACTGGGAGCCCTCCAGGTGATAAGAACCCTGCCCAAAACCCTGCCCTGCCCTGGCATTTCTGATTTCCTCTCTGCCTGCCCACAGGCAAGGTGAGCTCTCACAGCTCAGAGAGGAAAGGCAGAGACTGCCTCCTCCAGGGTAGAGAGTGAGGCCAGAGGGAGCCCAGGGCCAGGAGCTCGAGGAAGGGCAGGGGCTCTGGCTCTAGGAAGAGAAGCTGGGGGCAGGGACCGGGGGGAGGGTCTCCCCCTGCACTCTCTGCTCGATCCCCCGAGTCCCAGGCCTTTCTGCAACACGGGTGATATAACCAGGGGCTTTCCGGTTCACAAGCCACATCCCTGCGCTTTGTTTCCTTGAGTCCCTCAGCAGCCCAAGAGGTGGGCAGTGACCGGTGCTGCTCTCATCAGACACCCCAGGTAAAGAAACTGAAGCTCAGAGAGGGTAACTGATGGGCACAAGGGCACACAGACAAGGAGAGAGTCCATGTCCCCCAGCCCTAATCTTTTATCTTTTGCTGGCTGAGCCATCTCCAAGAGACCACAGGAACAAACAGGAGACTCTTCAGCTATCATCAAATGTGTTTCTAAGTGACCCAAGGCACACTCAGAAAACCTCTGCCCTGAGTGGAGACTAGGAGGACACGGGGCACAGGTGGTCCCATCCTACGGATGAGCAAGTTAAGCAAGGAAACATTTTGACAGAATGACGTGACAGCAAAGATTAGAATCCAAGTTCTTGTTGTTGTTTGAGTCCGGAGCTTACTCTGTTGCCCAGGCTGGAGTGCAGTAGCACAGTCACAGCTCACCATAGCCTTGACCTCCTGGGCTCAACGGATCCTTCTGCCTCAGCCTCTTGAGTAGTTGGGACTATAGGTACATACCACCATGCCTGGCTATTTTTTTTTTAATTATTTTTTTTGTAGTGGCAGGGTCTTGATATGTTGCCCAGGCTGGTCTTGAACTCCTGGGCTCAAGCGATCCTCCCACTTTGGCCTCCCAAAGTGCTGGTATTACAGGCATGAGCCTGGCCTAAAATCCAAGTTCTATTCCTGAGCTAGAGCATGTAGCTGACAAGAAGTGAGGACCCAGGCACAGTACTCCCTCCACCTACCTGTCCAGGGCAGCCTTCAGGGTGGGCACCAGTTGGGCCTGAGTCTCACTCACATTTTATACCAGGTGTTCACAGGGGTCAGGCCTCCCTCCTTCAACACTATGGCATTGAGGGGGGCCAGTGTGCTCGCAGGCAGGTCTCTGCTGGCCTAATTTCCCGGCTAAAGACCTAGATAGAGTGTCTAAATTTTCCTGCAGCCAACTGGTGCCCCAGATTTAGCCTCCTGGTGGATAAGTCCATTTCTCTCCTGCCAGCGGCTGTGTCTGTCACCCTAGCCCATCCCCAGCTCCCTGAACCACCTGTTTCAAAGACACTGATGATGCAGCGGCCGTCATCAGCATGAAATGCACAGAACTGAATGAAGAAAATTCAAACTCTAATGCCAGACCCAGAAGAGAGCTTGAGACGAGGAGGTCCAAGGTCAGAGCATCAGGTGATGAGCCCTGGCTGCCGGCCCTGTCCCTGTGAACTTCCCGGGAGAGGACAGGGAAGAACAAAGAGAAGAGGACTGGATCAGGACCCCCTCCATGGGCTCGCCCTCTCGTCAGGCCTCAAACAGTCCACACGTAGGATGACATGACAACAAGACTAACAGACACACTGTAAGGTGGTAACCCAAACCCAAGGGCTTGCGCATAGTGTTTACCTTTCCAAAGAAGTCACCTGGAGCCCAGCAGGGAAAGACACTGGTTTATTAGAACTTACGGGAAGCATCGATAGCAGCCAGTCGGTGAAGAATCCACACCTTGGGCCATATAGCAGGCAGTTTTATAATCAAAGCATTCTCACACCCATTGTCATTTGGCATGTACAATTAAGATGGTTTAAGAGTGATAACTAGCCAGGCTCGGTGGCTCAGCCTGTAATCCCGCACCTTGGGAGACTGAGATGAGCAGATTGCCTGAGTTCACGGGTTCGAGATCCGCCTGGGCAACTTGGCGAGACCTCATCTCTACAATAAATCAAAAAATCAGCCGGGCATGGTAGCGCATGCCTGTAATTCCGGCTACTTGGAAGGCTGAGGCAGAAGGATTGCTGGAGCCCAGCAGGTCGAGGCTGCAGTGGCCGGGAGTGGCCACTGCACTCCAGTCTGGGCGACAGAGTGAGACTCCAACTCAAAAAAAAAAGAGTGATAACTACATGGTCTTGAGTTTTGCTTGGTCACCTGCATCCCATGAATGTGCATACCCTACAGAGACCAGCTTTGACCAGAGGCCACTCCCTGAGGGAGGGAGAGGAAGAAGCCAGGTACAGGGGAAAACAGTCCATGTCTGGACAATACTTTACATACATGGACTGTGCACCAAGCACTTTCTGTGTAACACCTCACTGAATCGTCATGACTCCCCTAATGAGATGAGTTCTATTACTGACTCTATTTTCCAGATTAGAATATCGATATTCAGAGGGGTCATGTCACATGCCTGAGGTCATAGAACTAGAAGTGGTGAAAGTCAAATACACACATAGAGTCTGCCATGCTGACCACTGCCTTCCCTGCCATTCAGGTGTGGTAATAACTCCCCAGAACAGGCCAGGCCCAATACTATGGAGACTCCACATGAAGTGGGCCTCCGTGCCTCCTGCCCGCTGACGAGGCCACAGGCTGCCTCAGCCAGGGCTTGGCCACTCCACACTCATTCCATCAACATTCAGAGTATGAAGGCACCTCTGAAACCACAGGCCCAATCGCTCCTGTGGGGCTAGAGTCCTCTGTGGATAGCAGAGGCCATTGCAGCCTCCTGTGGATGTCACTGGCAAGAGCACATCACCTGTGGACACAGCTTTTAACACCCCCAGGCGGCTCCTTCTCTAGAAGTTGACCACCCATCTCCTTCACATCCCTCCCGGGGGCTAGTGAGGAGAAATACACTTCTTGCTAGATGCTACAACAAACTCTCAGCACTGCCACTCCACTGGCCTCCCTGCCCTGTTCGTCTAGTTTTCCAGCAGGGCTTCTGGTACCCAGGTCCCCTATCTAGTTCCCTAATGCTAGAACCTTGGGCCAGAGTGTCTAGGATCCCAGGCCAGTGCTCCTAGAACCCCTGACCAGCACACCTAGAACCCCAGACTAGTGCACCTCAACCCCCAGGCCAGTGTGCCTAGAACGCCAGCCCAGTGCACCTAGAGCCTTGGGCCTGCACACCTAAGCTCCCAGGCCAGCATGCCTAGAACCCCAGGCCAGTGTACCGCGACAGCATGCCTAGAACCCCAGGCCAGTGCACCTAGGACCCTGGGCCAGCAAGTATAAACCCCAGGTCAGTGCACCTAGGATTCCAGGCCAGTGCGCCTGGAACCCTGAGCCAGCATGCCTAGAACCCTGGACCAGCACGCCAAGGATCCCCAGGCCAGCATGCCCAGAACCCATGCTTAGAACCCCAGCGTGCCAGGCTAGGTTGTCGAGGCCCCACACCACAGGGCAGGACAGCCACCTGTGCACCGCGGCGCCCACCTCTCTCTGCTCCCTCTGCAGACACAGCTCCTCCGTCTCCTCCATCAGTTTGTCTGCCAAGGCAAGCACACACACGCTCATGAAAGGCTCACACCAGGGATCAGGGCTGAGGCAGTCACCCCCAGCCTCTCCCAGGGAAGCGACGGGGCCCCTGCTGGCAAGGGTGGGGCCAGCCCCCTGTGATGGAAGCTGCCTCTTGGCCTGGCCGGAGCCACATCCACCTTCCCATCATTGTCCCTGCTTTGTGCCTCCACAGGCCATGAAGGGCCTCATCCTTGGGAGTTTAAGGGGGGGTCTCTGCACCTCCAGCGCTGTTGCAACTGGGCTAGCCCCCCACCTTCCACCTGCACTAGTGTCTGGCTGGCAGGGAGGGCAAAACTCTGGGGGGAACCAGTGCTGGGCCCAGGTGTCTGCGCAGGTACAGAAGCAAACCCTCAGTCTCACCATCTTCTGGAACCCTGTGGCCAGGTTTAAAGTGGCCTGGGAGGGAGGTGGGGCAAGTCCAGGCTCCGGGGTAGGATAACACCATCAACTGTACTTACACAACCCTCACTGTATGCCTACTGCCAGCTCTCACAGACATTTCCCATCCAACCTGGTACTCTAAGAGCTTGGAACTATTTTTATCCCCACTTTAAGGATGAGGAAATTGAGGCTAGACAGGCCAAGCCACTCCTGCCTTCTACTGTGCAGGCCCAAAGGTCACATCTTGCACCAGAAGGCCTTCGGGGCACTGAACTGCCACTGTGCCCTCAGAGCCTGCTAAGCCCCACCTGAGACACCCCCGCCCCCACCTGGGTGCTTCACCAAGCTCCTGGCCACAGCCCCCGCCCCCAAGTACTAGGCAGCTCAGCTTCCAGTCCTCTCCTCCAGCTAACCTAAATACTCCTGCTTTTCTTTAGCCAACTGCAGCCCCTGGGCCTCCAGACTTTTGATCATGGCTTCTCCCAGCTGGGCATTCTTCCAGGTCCTGGGGAGAGAGGACAGATGGGACAGAGGAGAGCAGAGGAGGAAACAAAAACCATTAGCACGGCAGGGTGAAGGAGAAAGACCCACACGGGTGGCACTGGCCCACCCTTCCTCCTCCGGAATCTCAGCCTGCACTCACTCCACGCCCAGCCCCTGGCATGGCCCAGCAGCGATCAGTTAACGAAGCTGGCGGCTGGCCCAGGCTGCAAAGTGGGCCGCCAGGGGCTGGGCCAAGCGTGCCTTGAGAGCAGGAAGAGATTGCTTCCCAGTGGCTTTCTAGGTCATGAAATGCCGCACGCCAAGGCCGAGGCCAGCACAGTCGGTGCACGGTTGGTGCTGCCGTGGCACCAGGCCTGCAGGAGGCGGGCTTCAGGCAGGGGTGGGCGGCACCTGCTCAGTGTCAGCAGGACCCACTTTACAAAGTGCCAGCTCTGGCCCTTGCTGGGACTCCGGGGAGCCTGGGAGGTGGCAGGTGCAAGGAGATGCCAGATACCGACACCCACCCCCCCCAAGAGCTGGAGGCAAGCAATGCTGCCCATGACTCCAGACCCTTCCTGGGCTCCTGCAGGAGACCCTCCCAGATGCTCTGCAGCCAGCACTGGCTCTTCTTGCCCACCCCAGCAACGTCCACTGCCCGGTCCCCAGGCCCACCAGGATCCCAGCATGGAGGCGGGGCTTCAGGGTCAGCCCGCCACACCCTCCCCCTTCTGAGCCCTCAGGCTGCCCTCCTCGAGGGGCACTTACACCTTCCCAGACTCCTGCAGCATCTCCAGCCACTGGGTCTGCTCGAACTCAGACTCGGCAGCCAGCAAGACATTCCCCTGCGGGGAAGAGGCACCAGGTAGGCCTGAGAGGCAGCTGCGAGGGGCACAGAAGCCTGGCACTGCTCCCCCACCCCATGCCCCTGGGCACTGGCTCCTTCCTGGGCCAAGGGAGCCGGGATGGCTGGAGGCCAGGCTGAGGGGCGAGCTTCACTCACGTGGAAGTCTTGGTGGGAGATCTTCATGGCATATGGCATGCTGGGCTCTTCCTTGGGCTCCACCAGACAGCCCCCAAGAGGGATCACGCCCTGAGGAGGAGCCAGAACAGGCAGCCCCCACATGGCTCAGGGCACTCAGGGCCCCTGGAAGCCTCAGACAAAGCCAGGTCCTGCCAGGGGCCCCCGGCTGGAGACTGGGCCCTGGGGCCACTGCACAGAGGCCCAAACAGACCCCCCAGAGGACAGATCAAGGACTGGGGCAGGCTCCAGGGCATGGGAGGGCAGGGGGCCAGTCCAGGAGCAGGTCAGGGGACTAGAGCAAGACAGCAGACCAGCAGACAGGCCCCTCCATCAGGAGATGCTTCCCCGTCCCCATGTCCCATGAGGCCCTCCCCTGTGTGGCCTGGGGGAGGGGCTCTCACCTTAGGATGGATGTTGAAGTATTTATTGGTTTCAAAGCTCTTTTTTTCACTCTCAGAGTAGTACAGCAGGAAGCTCTCTTTGATGATGAAAAACCTAGAGTGGGTGGGAGAAGAGACAGCCAAGGGAGACGGAGTGAGGCTTCTCAGACAGCAAGAGTACTCGGGGGCCCTGGACTCATACAGGAGCCTGCTGGGACACCCGCTCAGACACACGGTCCACATCAGCACAAGGGCCTGGCTGGCTGGCTGGCCTGCCATGGGCAGCCTCTGCCCCCTGCATCAGCACCCTTGCTGAGGACTGCAGGGCAGCTATGGTCCCCCGCTCGGTCACCTTCTGCCCCTGAGCTGTCTCCTTGTCACTGAGAGCCTCCTGAGGAGGAGAAGGAGGGGGAAAAGACACGGGAGACCAAGACAGGTCTTTGCAGGCAAGCATGGAGGCTGGCGATTCATGGCAATCCTACAGAGTGGACAGCCCACACACGCCCCGGGGTGCCACCACATCCCTTTTCCCAGACTGCTCCCCAGCCCATTCTGGACTCGGGTCTACTGAGGGTCTCTAATTTGGTGCTTTCTGACTGTGGAGGCCACATCCTCTATCCTCCTGCCCCAGCCTCCCACCATGTGGAGTGCCTGGACCCACCATGGGGGCTCAGTTGGGACTGATGATTGGAGCTGGCTGTGATGAGATGCCAAGCAGCCCCAAGGCCCAATTTGGAGTGAAGGCTTCTATGTAGGAATTTTGGGTTGCCACATCCTGCCCACAGCTGTCTTTAAAAATTCATGGGTTCTGGAAACCTCAAACCTCCCCGCTACCCGTGACTCCTCTCTGCTGCCCTAGGACTCCCCAGCTGGACACAGAGGAGGAACAGAGCCCAAGGAGACTGGACGTGTGATGTCTCCATGCAGACAGGGCCAATCCACACCAAGATCTCCCCCAGCCCAAGAGGGGAGGGTCCTTCGGACCCTGGGTACCTCCCGGAGGATGAGTTATGGCAGAGCTTACTGAGGGCTTCTTTCCTTCTGAGGATACTTTTGCTCTAAGTTCCCAAAGCATCACTTGCTCAGAGGCTCAGCTCACCCAGGGTGGCCGGCTCCCTCCTCCAGGGCCCCCGCTGAGAGTGCTGCTGTAGTGACAGAGGTGGGCAGGATGAGCTGGCAGTTCTGAAAGTTGTTGTGTGCAGGTGTGTTTGACGAAGGGGTATGTTGGAGCCGGCTCAGACGGCCTCACGGTAGTCAATAGTGTCAACCTTTGCTGGCTCTGCATTCAGTGACACCACATCAGCAGCCTGATGGTGGCCACTGTGGGGTCATTCACACCCCGAAAACCAAATCCTACAAAACTGCCCCACCTCTTTCCTGGAACCTGGAGTTAAGCATTTGCCAGCACACCCCTGACTGGACATCCTCGCTCTGAAGGGCTTGAAGAGTTGCTGGTGAGCATCTGTAGGTCATACTGGCTACAGAGCTCCCCAGAGGCCATGGCTATTGAGGGAGGCAGGCCTGGGACAGCTGACAGTGGAACTCAGCTTTATACTTTGGTGTGAGCCTCATGCCACCCATTTTATCTTTATTTTTTGTAGAGACAGGGTCTCACTATGTTGCCCAGGCTGACCTTGAATTCCTGGGCTCAAGTGATCCTCCTACCTCAGTCTTTCGAGTAGCTGAGACTACAGGCATGCACTACCATGCCCAGCTAAATGTTTTATATTTTTAGAGATGGTGTCTTGCTATGTTGCCCAGGCTGTCTTAAAACTCCTAGGCTCAAGTGATCCTCCCACCTCAGCCACCTCTGTAGCCGAGACTACAGGTATGCACTACCTTGCCCAGCTACATTTTTAATTTGTGTAGAGACGGGGACTCTCCATGTTTCCCAGGCTGGTCTCGAACTCCTAGCCTTTTGTCCCAGCCTCTCAAGCCACTGGGATTACAAATGTGAGTCACTGCACCCAGCCAGCTCCCCCTATTTTGTTTATTTGGGCCGATCCTCTCTGCCCATGCTCATAACAAATACAACCCTGGGGACCCTGCCCATGGGTGACACATGCTGATGCCAATTCTTCCCAAAGGCCTCTCTGCTCCCAGTGCAGAAAGAGCTCTGAACACCACCCGTGCAGAACATGGAAACACTCGGCCCGCTAGCCCCTGGCCCGGACCCACCTCTCCAGGGAAGCAGGGAGCTCACTGCCCCCACATGGCCCTGCAAATGGAGAGAGCGCTGAGGGCCTGGAAGCCCCTCCCTCTTGCTCTTCCCTTGCTGGAACTGTCCCACTCCTGATGACCAGTCAAGGGATTCCTGCACTTAGCACCAGTTGCCCCATGTGTGAGTCCTCTCCCAAGGGCATGTCCCACTTCGATCCCCTGCCCGTCCCAAGGGCATGTCACGAAGCAGCTGAGAGCACAGACCTGCCGTGTTCCAGCTGGGGGCCCTGGGCTCACAAACGGCCTGTAGGATGGGGAAAGGAGCATCTACCTCATGTGGATACTGTGAGGACCAGAGGGGACCAGCCAGTCCACAGGGGACCCAGACGGGGCTGAAGGATGCATCTGTGGTCTGAATCTCATTCCACAGGACAGCTCCTGGGGTCCCCTCCTCCCCACAGCTCCTGAATTGCTGCCACAGACTGAATGTGTCCCCCAGCCCTAACCCCAACTGCGACTATATCCAGAGGTAGGGTTTTTAGGAGGTAATGAAGGTTAAATGAGGTCATAAGGGGGTGGGGGGAACAACAGGACTGTGGCCTTACAACAAGAGAAAAGGGCACAAGGTCTCTCCCTCTGCCTCTTTCTCTCTCTCTCCCCCTGCCCACCACATGAGGATGTACCCAGATGGCAGCATCCCTCACCAGAGCCTGACCATGCTGCCACCCCGAGCTCAGCCTCCCAGCCTCCAGAATTGTGGGAAGACAAGTGTTTGGGGTTTAAACCACCTGGTCTACGGCACTTTGTCCAAGCTGAGACATAAATACCTCATGCATTCTTGCCTCTTCTGGAGTCCTGCCTACTCAGGGCAAGGCTCAGTGCTGGAACATGGGTGGGGAGGGGGCGGGGCTCTGTGGCCCCCCACCATGGGGCAGCCTCAGGCCGGCTCCCAGCCTCCCTCTCTTTCTCCAAAAACTTGGGGTACAAATATCTGTCTCTTGGGGCTGCTGTGAAGCCCCCCTCACCAACTTAACAAGCAGCTACCGAGCTCCAGGCTACCCCTCTGTGCCGGGTCCTGCTGACAGCTATGGATCAGACAGATGAAATCCCTGTACCCATGGAGCTCTCGAGACTTGCAGGTCATGGGGGCAGAGGTGAAGCAATGAGAGAGAGATGTCCCATGCCAGCAGCTGCGGGGAGGCAAGGCAGGGTAGGACTTGGGAAGAACAGGTGTGGGCTGGTCTATATTAGAGGGTGGCTGGGACAGCCTTGCTCAGGAGGTGACCTTGCAGGAGAGAGATGGTGCTCCAGGCAGAGGAGTCACAGATTCAAAGGCCCTGGGTGGGAAGCATGCCTGGCTCGGTCGCAGCTGCAGGCTGGGCCGTGCAAAGGCCCTGTGGCTATTGGAATGGCAATAATGACCAAGCTGACATTCATGCAGCACTTACCACAACCGTGCCTGACTCCAAGTAGTCACTTATTCATGCATTTAACAGGTACAATAAACAGGGTGCCCCTGTATTTTATATGGGTAGGAATAGGGGGCATAGCCCGCTGAGGGCTAGACTGCAGCCTGGGAGAGGCTGACTTTTCTTGAGCAAGAGTGACATGATTTACATTGCAAAAGGCCCACACCTGGCCGATGTGTGGGTAACAGATTGTTGGGCAAAGGGTGGGGGAGAAGGACACCCATTCAGGCCATTGCCACATGTTGTCAGGAGAGTGGTCAGGAGGCAAGAGAGGGTCCCGTGGGTAGAGGCCCGTGAAGCCCTTAGCATGTGCCTAGCACACAGGAGGCATCCCCTAATGCCATGCCCTCCTTCTTCCGGTGCCTCTGAAGGACAGCACGGAGAGAGGTAGGGAGGGCGGGTGAAGGTCAGGATGGCCGGGGCTCAGTAGGGTTGTGAAGGGCCCACACCTGGCAGGCCATCGCTGACTCCAGTGTGGCTTGGGAGAAGGTGGAGGCTGGGGAGGGGGCCGGCCTGAACCTGAGGGAGGAGGGCCACCGCCTGGCCCAGGGTCCAGTTCCACCCAGCAGAGGGTCTGTCTAGCACATTCTCCTAAGACCCAAAGGGTCATTCTGCTCACAGGCTACCTTGTGGCACCCCGCTGTCCCATCCATGGTCCTCAGCTTCCTCCTTGCAGGTGGGGCCTAGAACCCTGGCACCGCGCAGAGAGGTCCTTCCTCTTTCCATCCCTCCCTCCAAAGTCACTCACTCCCCGCATGAGGGGGGAAAGGACACAGGAGCACAGAGAGGTAGAGCAACATGACCAGATGACAGAACTGCTGTATGAAGAGGCAGGACAGGGAGCAACATTGTAACACAGCATTGTAAAGCACTAGAAGATATATGCAACATGGTACAGCAGTCATGTCCAACCCACAGCCCATGGGCCTTATGCAACCCAGGACGGCCAGTAATGCGGCCCCACAAAATCTTTTAACATCATGTGTTTTTTACTGTTTATTTTCTTCATGACCCCATACGTAGTTCCATTTTTGAAGTTCACAATCACGCCTTATTCATGACATGGCTTTTTTGCAGCACATGCATTTTTAAGCAGCTATTTTCAGTTATGAAGCACATGAACAGCAAAATTAAAACACATATTTCTGGCGGGCACCTTGAGAACTCGCCAAGAATTGCAACCACTTCATCAAGCCAGACACTGACAGATTGATATTACAAAAACAGGATCAAATTTCCCACTAGCTTTATACTGTTTTCATTTTTCTAAACCCTATAATAAAAAATTTCTTAAAGAAGTCATTATGAGCCGGGCTCGGTGGCTCAGCCTGTAATCCCAGCGCTTTGGGAGACTGAGGTGAGTGGATTGCCTGAGCCTGCAGGTTCAAGACCCGCCTGGGCAACTTGGCAAGACCTCATCTCTACAAGTCAAAAACTAGCCGGGCGTGGTAGCGTGCGCCTGTAGTTCCAGCTACCTGGAAGGCTGAGGTGGAAGGATCGCCGGAGCCCAGCAGGTCGAGGCTGCAGTGGCCGGGAGCGGGCACTGCACTCCAGTCTGGGTGACAGAGTGAGACTTCAACTCAAAAAAAAGAAAAAAAGAAGTCATTATGTATATACACTAACTATATCATATAATTTATGTGCAGCCCAAGACAATTCCTCTTTACTCGATGTGGCCCAGGGAAGCCAAAAGGTTGGACACCCTCACTGTAACATGCTAGCAGAACATACTGCAACATTGCAGGGGCTACAACAGGGCATGCTTGTATACCGCACAGGAAGATGCAGACCAGCGGGGAATGAATGGTTTAGGTGTCCAGTCTAGGAAGTTTTCTGAGAAGAGGTGACAACTGAGCAGGGTTTTGAAGAGTGAATAGGAGTATCTTGGGAATTTAGGAGGCTGTGGAAGTCAGGTGGGGGGAGCTGCATTCCAGACAGAGGGAACAGCATATGCAGAGACTAGTACACTTGAGGCTCTGAAGCCAGATCTGGTACGACTGGCAGACAAGGAGGCAGCAGTGGTGCTGGTAGGAGGGGAAGAGTGAGTCAAGGGCGGAGAGAAAAGCACCTGCTGAGTGGCCAGGGTGCACCATCCTAGCGAAGAGGCAGCTACTGGCAGGTTTCCAGCAGGGCATGTGTTAGGTCAGATGTAGTTTTAGGCATGGAGAGGGTAGACTCGGGGTATCCACAACAGGCCAAGGGGCACGTTAGAGTTATTGGGAGGTATGAATCAGCAGGGCTTGTCGAATGACTAGACAAGGGCAAGGTGAGCAGGTCAGGGATGACACAGTGGCCTGGACTCCAGCTTGAGTGACAGGATGGATACAGGTGCCATCCAGTACGAATTAGGGAGCCCAGGAGAGTTTCCTTAGGCACCCCCACCCCCTTGCTCTGAATGCAACAAGGGCTCTACCAGAGCTCAGTGGCCAACATCAGCCTCATGACAGGTCCAGCTGGAGCCCAGGGAACGCTGCTTAGACAGAAGGGTCCTGCCCTGTTGAGCAGGGCCTGTTAAATATGGGCCTGGCCACACTGTGTCCACTCTGCTCTGTAAAGCGTGGAGATGCAAAGCCACTGGGCTGGGGAGCAGGAGCCAGAAAGGGATGTAAAGGTGGAAAAGTCCCAGAGGGCAACAGGGAGGAGACGTGACAGAGGGAAGGGGATCTGGGAGGATGCAAGAGTCTGGGTCCTGTAATGTGGACAACAGTGACCAGTGCCATCTCTGCGGGGACACTAAGCATGAGATGTTTGCACCTTGTGATGTCAATGCCTCTCTAGGCTGCCAGACTCAAGTCCCTCGTGGAAGAGGCTGCTGTATCTGTGGACAGCAGGGGAAGGTGGGGAAAACTGAGGCACAGAAGCTGAGTTTCAC